ATCCACCCCGGACATCATCTTTCTTGACACGTTGACAGCAAGGTAACCAGAACATACACAAAATGCAGGCAGATTACATTGTACATCTAACAAAGACGTGACCGTCATGTTTTTGTCATATTACCTCAAACCCTGCAAATAGAAGTGTGCATGGAATCATGGGAAGAAACGGTGTGCATTGCCGTGTGGTAACTGTCATAAAGGTGATTGTCAGGTCATACCTGTTTTCAACTCTGGAAGGAAAGTTGGTGTGCTTGTGATCTACATAACAAAGTGTGTTACAACTTTTGAAGGACAATTGAAATCTACCAGGTGTGCTGTGATTTGAATAACAAAAGATGTTTATAATCTACTGAGTTGTCTACGTGACACAGCTGCTAGCAAGATCACATTCTGTTTGGCTCATGTTGAAACCCAGGGGGTGTCTCTGAATCTGGGCCATTTATGCCTATTAAGTGGACAGACTGTGGACAATTGGGATCCATTTCCATTTCAACTAAGTATCCTGTGTGTTGCTGCTGCAATATTGTGAAACAAGTGATACACAGTTCAATCATGATTCTGTGAGACTGTACTGCGATCTCCTGCTTTCAGCGGTGCCCTCCTGTATTTCCTCGTTGTTGTGTTGCAGAAGCAATTGACTGTCATCCATTTCTACATCCTGGAACTGTGAGTTATGACCAACGCACACTTCCCTAGGCAATCCCCTGTTTTAGTAACCTTATTCATTGTATTTATTCTGTTCTTTGTTTCGTGTAATTATTTTTAGAGATATTAAAGCTTTAACTTGAAATTTTGGGGTATGTGTTTTTTATTTTCAGTACTATTGTCCATTCCATACTAGTAGTGAAAGAACTCCCTGTCTGTGGGTTTCCCTCTCAAGTTCAATAAGCAGGCCTTACACCATGATATTTTGGTGTCAGAAGTAGGATGGTGATTCTGATTCGGATTGGAACTAAGATTTGAATTCAGTATTGATTCTGATTTTGATTGATTCACTATTGATTTGGATTCTATTGTCAATAATCCCTTGACTAAATTGACTGTTTCGTAACTGCTCAGGTCTAGAGAACACGGTGTTGTCAGACCAGCTTGTACTGCTAGGAAGACATTACATTGCTTTATTTAGTACTACTGGAACTTGATTAACACCTTTCCAGCATGGATATTGTTATTGAACTTAGAGTATGGTAGAAAATTGGGGTATGAGGGGGGGGGGGGTCTGACTCAATTTGTGAGGGCAGAGCTTGAGAACAGAGAGAAAAAAGAGGGAGAGCGCGAGGAGAAGGATGAGAGAGCAGCCAAATGTGAGGCTGAACGAGACAAAGAACGTGAGCCAATAAAGAAAAAGAAGAAAAAGCAAGACAACATGAACTTGAAGTGTTGAGGTTGCGTGCGAAAGACAATAGTAAAAATATAGGTGTAGAACAGTTGGCTCAGTCCATTGTCAGTTCTAAGGGTCCAAAGCTACCATTATTTTAAGGTTCGAGCGATTTGCTGCAACCCGAAAATGGACACATGACTGTTGAGTTATGCATTATTGACAAGCATTGTATCTGTTTTCAGCATTGTCTGCAGCAGCTTTCTGGTGATAGTTTTTGCACTGGTGTTTTCTAGGCAATGGATTTCCCAGAAATTGAATGGAAATCCACTGTTATTAGTTCTGTCCGCAAGCTATCAGTTCCGTCATTCGGTAAATATGCCCTGTCAGTGTATCTGCAAGTTGAGTTTGTTTTGCTGCAGTCTCTGCAACAGTCTTTTCAACCCCTTCGGGGGTTACTAGTGGCTTATTTAAGATTGTTTCTAAGAGTTTGTGATTGTTCCTTAACAGATCTACCATATATTGTATATTGGTGGAAATGCAGAACACAACAGTTAGCAGCGCCTTCTCAATTAACGAGTAATGTAAAGAGTTTCTGTATCTATTTCTGTAACACTGATGCAATGTTTGCAGGATCTGGTTTCAGTCCTTCACATGAGGTGCACAATAAATAGGAGTTTGCCTCATTTTTATCTTGTTCTAATTTAATTTTAATTTGCACTCTCTGCATCATTTCATTAGAGCTCTTAACCTCTGATCATGGTCTGATATGACTCCTTCAACTGTGTCACCTTCTCCGTAGATCAATATGTCATCCACTATTTATTTAATGTTAAGCAGACCATCTATTGCGTGGTCTTTCCTCTTACTATTACTCTTTCAGCGCATTAAAGTTCTGATAAGTTCACAGGGGTCATTGTGTATTCTCATCTTTGCTATCTGTACTACCATCAGCATACTCGATACCCATGGCTATGGTTCTATTACAGGTGCTACTACTTTTCATTTTTTTACCTGTCCAGTTCTTCATGGAGTTGTCTTTTTATGGAAACTGGAAATTTCCTCGAGGAGTGGTCATACCATGTTCCAACTGCAAGTAATATTTTTTCAGTTAGTACTCCAGTGCCTTCAAATACTTCATTTTAGTCATTGACTAGCTGCTCAGCTGTGATTGGTTTCATCGTACAACCAATAACTAGCACTGCTGGCTTATGTCAAAGGTTCCTGATTAGCTATTATGATTTGATGATTGATCATGTTGAACTTTCACAAATCCCACCTGCTGTATCGGAGATTATGTTACATGGAGCCCCTGAGACCAGTTGAAACTTTTGCATAATTCTTATCTGTGTACATTATCTATGTGGCATATACTTGTTTTGAAAATTCGTATTCTGTCACTTTTATAATTTGCTCTCCCACTGCTGTGAGTTACAGTTTGCATCTCTTCATACCCACATTCTTTTTATTTTCTATGCTTTGGATCTGTTTTTTTTGTTTTACCTTGTCTACAGCATGATGCAAAATGATATTTGCAGTTGTGGGACTTTTTCCAAATGCTGGGCATTATATTTGTTTCTTTGGTGCTGTCTTCCACAGTATTTATATACAGGGAATGCCCAGTCGAAGTTTCTTTTGCCTCACTGCGATTATGTCTCGATTGCTTTTATCTGCTCTTTGGACAGCTAAGATGCTCTGCATATTTGTGTACACTTCTCTAAAAAAAGGTCTATCTCTGAGCCTTGAGTCATTCATCCCACAAACTATTCTGTCTCTTATGATTGAATCTTTCAACGTCAAAAAATTGCAAATTGTGTCCAGGATCTTCAAATCTGTGCCGTGTAGAAAAGCTCATTGAATTCCTGGTTTTGTGTGTCCATCAAACTGTATGGTTTCAATTATTTCTCGTCCCTTCCTGCTAACAACTCGCATTCCTTATTTTCATCTTTATCGGACATTACTAAGTCAACATACTGTTTATAATTACATCAGGTATCATGTAACTATAAACAACATGAAACGTACAACCACATTCACCAATCGCTAGAGTCCTTAATTAAATTCTGTTCTGTTATTATATTATATAAAATACACATCCATGTTTTCCTACAGTGCTGGTTGAAATATATTCTGCTGTCAACTGTATACTGGTTTGCACATTGCAATGTACCATGTCCAGTGCTAGGAGGTATACATAAAATACACATTCTCCTGTATACATACAATAGCACACGTTTTTCTGGTTCTGGATTCAGGCCAAAAGCTAAATTGACAAGTAGTAGAATGCAATCCACCATTTCTGCTATACCCCTCTATAAAATAGTTTCATGTCTCTTTCATAGAAATAGTCTGAAACCCAATCAAGTGTTTGTGACATACAGATAGTAGGTAATGCATTCTGATGTACCATGTTTACATGTTGTGTGAAAATTATCCCTATTGAATGTAGTAGAAAATGTTCGATCTGATGTTCATGTGACACATCCATGTCATAGAATGAGCGCAACATTTGGCATCAATCACAGTCAGAAGCTCCTCCTACAAGCAGCCTGTGCCAAGCACATAATCTACCTGAACCTGTGACTGTCATCCTATAATATTCAAAATACATTTGTATAATATTATGTAAGATGTATGTATGAATTTTGAATGTAATCAGTCAGAGTTTGTCTAAGATTACAGGTCCAGACGGACGCACCGACGAACGGATGCATGAACAGAGATCAATCTATAACCGCCCGTTTTCGAACGGGGACTAAAAAATGATCTGCATACATACTGGATGATAAACGTTGCTACACCCATCAGGGTTATTTTACCTTTTAACCAAGGATACAGTGTCGACATTATACAGCTATATGTGGGACGAGGTCACACTCATTCGGAATACAAATGGATTGTTTATAAATATCTCCAACAAGCAGATTATCCCATCACTATTGAGCACTACTTTTGTTGATTGTTCAATATGAACCCATGTAAAAAACAAATCGTACGCACTGTGTTCCTAATGCAACCGTGTAAAAAATAAAATATTTGAAATGTAACGCTTCGTCACTGGTGAGGAATATAAAATGATATGCATATATACTATAAGTAAGACACATCCCGATATTTTGTCTTGTTTTCTATTTCAAACACCCACATTTTCTGATATCTCCTATTTCTATTCTAACCAACGCCCAGTGAAACGCGCCTGAAAATTCAAATTGGATTATTCAAATTAGCAGAATGCGGTCGTGGCAGCAGTCGCCGTCGCTCAGTAACAAGATAAGACAGGGCGATCCATCAAATTTTGACAGGGGCCTGTGGTTGGCTATTATTTTTAAAAGCACTCACTACGTCACATGTGCAAAATGCGTGCGATTATGTAAATTATATTTACGTTCAGACTCCTCCCTACTTCCTTTTCTGTCTCTTTCGAAATTCAAACCAGGATCACGTGGGGATGCTTTGACGTAATGTTGTTTGTGTCAGTTGTCCAATTAGACCACCCGTATTACATACTCGCACCGATTTCTGTGCTAGATCCAGCTCGTTTCACTGGGCGGTGATTACAGGCAGCTATGCAAAGTATCACAGCCGAGTCTCTGGGCTAGATATCTCCCGGTATTTCCAACAAAAAATAGGTATTAAAGAGAAGTGACCCAAACTACTACCGCCCTTAGACACAGTCTACCTGACAACTGAAGACGAAGCACTCTCCACAGTCAGATCCAGATTGACTCGTAAGTTACTTATTTCAAAAAATCGCACCATTTTTCAGATCTATATTTCTTAACTTCTGAATGAATGAATTGATATTTATCAACATTACATCATGTACAATTAGATCGCTGCCTCTTATTTTGATGAAAAATATGCTTATTTGGGGGTAAACCAGACACAAAATGGCATCAAGTGATATTTACTTCGATGCATCCCACACTACTCCACACCTTCAAGGACTGTAGATCACGGTCCGGGGCGAGTTCCTCCGATAAATATTTGAAATCTAGATCCCCTGAGACGCTATTTTGCTGACACAAAGAGTTCAGTCTGATTTAACCTAACAACTGAAGACAAAGCACTCTCCACAGTCAGATCCAGATTGACTCGTAAGTTACTTATTTAAAAAAATCGCACCATTTTTCAGATTTATATTTCTTAACTTCTGAATGAATTGATATTTATCGACATTACTTCATGTATAATTAGACAGCTGCCTCTCCGATAAAAAAATATTTCGATGAAAAATATATTTAAAAGTGTAAATACTACATTGTCGTTGCAATTGCCCAGTATGTATCCGTTTTTGACTTGTTAAAATTGGGAATAACCAATATATGAGGAGCAAAATGATACCTGCTGTAATGACTTATATGTGGGTCTTCACCCTGTTTTTTGGGTTTAAAAAACACTATTTTAGTTCAAAAATAAGAAAATCGAAAATGTTAAAATATATATATATTAACATTTCCAACTGCGCGAAGGACAATACAATCTATAATTAATCCCTTGATCGCTCTTCATAGTTTCTCTAGTGACAAAATATTTCCCAAAAGATAGATTAATTAGGGTAACAAAGTCCGATTTTGGTCACAAAATGTATACATTTTGAGTCAAAACTGCTGATTTCATATATTTTGAACTGCTGTAATGTTTTATCTTGCAGG